ACACAAGTCACAGCCTTTTATTCTAGGAATAATAAGTAGGGCAAAATTTTCATCACAATAGGAATTAAGAATAAAGAACACCTGAGCTCTCTCTATGGAGCAGCAAGATAGATTTTAGTGCTAAAGACTGAGATGACACTGACTCTGCAGTTGTGCCTTCCTGGGGAAGATTATTACCCTGTCCAGGTAATTATGCTCCCTGCTATCCTGTTTTGTTCCTGTCACATTTAGGAATCCAGAGTCCTTGTTTTACAGCTGCAAGGATGGAGCCTCAGAGAGAAGGATTTGCTGGACTCCACATTGTGAATTAAACCCAAATCTTCTGGCTGCTAGGAAAGATTCCTTTAAGCCCTAATGATGAAATGATACAAAACCTCTTAATATGAGAATAGAGAGAAAGGGAAGGTGAAGAGGAGGAATGAGAGGGAGGAGAAAGACTAGGAGGATGAGGAGGTGTGGAATAGAAGTTCACTGGCAGACAGGGCACGGACAGGTATAGGGCAACCAGAGACCTTGGTGGGAGGGCAGGGAGTCTATTGGTGGAAAGGGGAGATGGAGGCTGGGGCCTGGCGAGGTTATTTTCAGAGCTGCTATCTTTGTCTGCATCTGCTAAATTATTAAACTGAGATCACATCCTAGAGGGTGCCAGGCCAGGTTGCCAGGGAGAGAACGAAAGGGAGGGGTTAGAAGTCTTAGCAGAGTCCTAAAATCTAGGTTGGGATGGAAGTAGACACCTAGGCCTGGACCCTCTGCCCCACCCCTCACTCAGTGGATGGAGGGGATCCTGGTTGGGATCACAACCACGCTCAGCATCCCCTCTGCAAGGCTCTCTCTTTCTGCTGGCTGCTATACCAGCAGGGGATAGCTACCTACAGAACCTGGTCCTTCTGGGCTGCTTCCTTACTTCCAGGGTCTCAGACTCAGATCGCAGGTTTTGAGTCAGATATGACCAGTTTTTGAGATTTGGAGGCAAATCCTTCCACATATGGATATCCTTGTCCACGCCATAGATATTGGCAGTTCCATTTCTCAGTTGAAGAAAGGTGCCTTTCTCAGGGTTGCATAGCTAGGAAAGGACTGAACTTGGATTGAAACACAAGCCTCTTCAGGCCCCTTTGCTCTCTCAATTGCCCAGCCTCCTATTTTTATATAGTTTATTACTGTCTTGATTTTCCAGATTTTCTACAAAAGGCGTGTACTTTATAACCTTTATAAAGATCAGACAAAAATTTAATTAAAAAAATACAAAGATCAGAAAACTACAGTAATCATTGTAGTTTAATAATGTATTCCCTGGCTCGGCGCCTATAGCTCAACCGGCTAAGG